CATAAGTGCAAACAACAGTCAGGACCCGTCCCCCCACTCGAAGGCGAAGGGAGGCTACCCTCTCGTCTACTGCGGTAAACCCCAATGTACAGGCGCACAGCCAGGGAGCAATAAGTATGCCCACCCCAGCTCGGCGCCTCTCCCCATGAGCAACTCCAGAGTGGAGACATCGCCGCTGCCCGCCTTGCCAGCTTCTGCAGCGTACTTTTATCGGCCGGAGCGTCTGGGGCACGGCGGAATTCGCGCCGTGAGAGATGCTATTCCCCGGGTCTCCAAAGCCCTTAAAGGGGCAGTACGAGACCTACCTGCTCGGGACCTGCCAGCACCGCCTGCTGCTGCTGCCGCCGCTCTGCCCGTGGCACCGCCTGTCCCGCCTGACCCGCCTGTCCTACCTGACCCGCCATTCCTGCCTGTTCTGCCTGCAGTCCCTGCAGCTGCCACCGCTCTGCCTGCGGCACTGCCCTAGGCAGCCGCGGTTGCGTCCCCTGCTGGCCGCGTGATGGCGGCACCTGCTGCGGCGCCCCCTGCTGGCCGCGTGATGGCGGCACCCGCCGGGGCGCCCCCTGCTGGCCAGGAACTGAGGGTGCCTGCTGCAGCACCGCCCGAGGGCCTGACTTCGCCTCCGCCAGCAGCGGAGGAAGCCGCTCTGCCCGTGGCGGCCGCTGCTGACTGCACGCGCAAAGCGCCCTCCGAGGCGCCCCCTGCTGGCCACGTGTCGGCGGCGCCCACCAAGGTGCCCCCTGCTGGCCGCGCGCCTGAGGTGCCCACCGAGGCGCCCTCTGCTGGCCAAGTGATGGCGGTGCCCGCTGCGGCGCCCCCTGCTGGCCAAGTGATGGCAGCGCCCGCCGAGGCGCCCTCTGCTGGCCGCACGCCTAAGGTGCCCGCAGAGGCGGCCCCTGCTGACCATGTGACGGCGGCGCCCGCCGAGGCGCCCTCTCCTGTCCTGCCCGCGGCCCTGCCTGAGGCCGCCTCTCCCATCCTGCCTAACTTCTCCCCGCCTCGGCTCCCTCGGGCTCCCCTTTGTCCCCCTTCCGTTCCTGTCTGGTCTCCCCTCTCTGCTCCTCCTCCTTTCGTCCCGCCTGTGTCTGTTCCTCGTCCCTCTGGTCCTCCTCTGTTCACTCCTGGCCCCTTCGTGTCGCCTGTGGGTGTTCCCTCTGTCCCCCTTCTCTGTTTGCCTGTCTGCGTTTCCTGTTCTTTGTCATGTCTTGCCTTTCTTTTCGTCCTTGTTCCTGTTCTGTGTCTCTGTCCTGTTCCCGGTCCTTTGTTGATGGGTTTTGGTTTTTGTCTTCCAGGTCCTGTTCCCCGGTCTCGTCTCGTCCGTCGCCTCCTCTCGGGCGCGCCCGGTGTGCGTGCCTTTGAGGGGGGGTTATGTCACGCCCCGCTCCGTCCGCTCCTAATGTGTGCCACGCCCACCTCATTACCTCCTGTTTCTCCCTGATTGTTCTCACCTGTGGCTCGTTATCCGTAGCTTGTCTGTTGTATTTAGTCCTCGTCTGAGTCAGTCTTCCCCAGACTTGTCATTAATGTTACCTGTCGTGCCTCCCCGGTCCTGCCTTAATAAATCCCCGTTTCCACCCGACTTTCTGGCTCCTCTCCCCTGCTTCCCTGCTCGCCTTCTTGCGATCGTGACAGAGTGGATGCACTGCTAAAGACAGAGATGCACTGCTAAAGACAGGCGATTATCATTTGGAGGTAACATTTGTAATCCAGTGGAAATGCACAGTACAGTTCCAAATTGTGGTTCTGTATAAATAATGTATATCAAATGTCTTCAGTTTTGATAAAGGTGTATTTCATATTGTCTATCATCAGGAGATGGATCATCAGGTGAAAACCAGTGTGGAGGACCAACTGTCAGACGAGAGTTGCAGTTTGTTACAGAGAAGGTGCTGAGTGAGGATGAGTGCAAGGAAGCAATCTCACTGATGAAACATTCAGCTGATGAAGACACAGTCAAGAAGAAGATGAAGTTGACAGTTGTTTATCGCCGCAACATGGTCCTTGACCCCTTGCTGTCAAGCAACATACTGTCCGATTTTCCACGTTTCCACGTTTATCAAAGGCTTGGTAAATATTTGTCATTACTTTGACAATATAAATACACTTTAATATTTTGTAGACAGTAGGTATAACTCTCCATCTATCCCTGTTACAGATTGAACAGGATTTTGTACTGATGTTTGGTGAGGATCTATCAGGCAGGTTTCTGGAGAGGTGGCCAACAACATTCAAAAGAAAGATTATCCAACAAGGCAGAAAGCTTCCTTCTGCCAGTGACCTAGAAGAACTCTTGCTGGTAGCTGACCCTCCTGAGGATGCCATTGAAGTTAATGCTGGCATTGGTGAGCTGTTTAAAATTTCTTTTAATTTGATTAGCACATTCACAGGGTGCAGACGGAAGCTGGTCTAAATGACCAAAATCAAAGGTGACCTGTTTTGATTTTGTGTGGCTGCTTATTTTTAACACATACTGTTCGGTAGAAAATGTATTAGCATCACATTTCATTATCTACATATCAATATATTATTTAAAACTGTGGAGATACAAAAAGACAGGCATTGAATCAGCTGTAATATTTTTTTAAAATAGGAGAAAATCTTTGTCACAGAACAGCTATCCTTTTTGTATTTTGGGTCTACTTAAACATTTTGTCAATGCAGATGCACTGAATTTTTTTGATGATCTACATGATTCAACTTTATTAAAAATAAATCTTTTGCAGGTTGGGACAGTGACCTCTCAACAATTTTATTGCTATTACATCTGATTCCACCATCTGGACAGGGTCGGAAGAGACCAGGAAAGGTGTGTAGGGGCTCCTACTATTTAGACAGAATTCATTGTCTTACCTTTTGCTCATGCGTGCAGGGTGTGGTAGTTGGTGACGCATGCCCAAGGAGAGAGCGCGGGTTCTCTCTGCTGTTTTAGGCACGTTATAATAAACACACAGGTTTTGGCGCTCAGCCTGTCTTGACTGCCTCTTTCCTTTTTGCTGCTGCACCGCAGCTCTACAGTGTCAGCTTCCCAAGCGGAAAAGCATCTTGTGGTCTTTAAGAAGGTTTGTGTTTGTTTTCTCTTTTTAGAGTATGAATTACCAGTTTAAGTATTATAACCACTTGGTTCTTACTGTCTGTCTGTATTTGTCTTTTCAGACTGGAACAAATATCCAAGATCATCTTCATGCCATCACTACTAGCACTCAACCCTACCTCCTGGCTGTTGGGGTGAAGAAGAATAACATCCACCAGTTCTTTATTATTCTTGACAAGAACGCCTTACCATGCAAGTCAACCTCTTCTCTTGGTTCTTTTGGTGAATTGTTTAAAGCACATTTTGTGTTTGGCACATCTTACAACACCATGCTTCACAACATGTACACATTCATCCAAACCACTGTGTACAACATAGATGTTGGCAAAGTCAAAGAAAGTCCCCGAGTTGCTGAAGTAAGGGCAAGGTTGCTTCGTTAGTGCTTGACGTTTAATCCTCCATGAAGTGTTTTGTCTGTCAGGCCGAGTTTACTGGTTCAAAAATGCTTGTTAGGCATTTACGGTTAGTTCATGGTTACTTACCTGGAAAAAATCTTCGCCTTAAATGTGCCCAGCGTGGCTGTGGCTGTGTGTTTGGTACTTTTTCTGGTTTTAGAAAACATTTAAATACCAAACACCTTAACTATTTTGACCAACAGGCTGACACTGATGTTAATCTCCAGCCTGATGTGGCAGTTAAACAAGTTAGCATTGCAGGGGAGGTGGTGTCAACTAATGTAGAAGAGACACCCACAACATCTGAAATGTTGAAAAAGTCAAATAAGAGCACTCTGGATATGTGTGCCTCTGCTGTTGCACAGCTCAAGGCAGCTGGATTAAGCCAATCTACTGTAAATAGTTTTGTCTCCTCAATGGAAGAAGTGTTTTTTGAGATTCATACTCAGGCTAAAGATGCAGCCTTACAGAGCTTACCTTCACAGGACATCACAAGTAAAAACAAATTTGAGCAATTCGAAAACTTTGAAAACCCATTTACACTGTTAAATTCAGAAGCTAAACGAAATAGACACTTTAAACAAAAATGGGAAACTGTTGACCCTGTTGAAATGGTGCTTGGCACAAGATTTGACAGTAGAAGAAACAAGATCACAGGGACTTATGATCAAGTCATTGTAACTGATAGGTTTGCATATGTTCCCATTTTGGAAACACTGAAAACAATCTTTCAAAACCACCATGTTGTTGACATGTTCAAGTCCAGGGATATGTCCAGAGAAGGTGTGTATGCAGATTTAAGCGATGCTGCCTATGTTAAAGGAAGTCCCCTATTTTCTACAGAAAAAGATGCCTTACAAATTCAACTATTTCAACTAAAATCCCTTGGGCTCTAAAAAGGGTGTACATAAATTAGGTGCAGTTGTTACGGCCAAATCAATGACCGCAACATAAAAGACCCAAACCAGCTGGCTCAACGATCTAGGGTTTTTTACCAAAAATAAGTACCAACACAAAAGTCCGGGAAATATAAGAGAGCAGCAAAACATAATATCAACATAGACAAACAAAAATCTCAGCAGCAGGAACATTCAGCGTGGCGTCGAAGCTCTCTCCGTGATACAGGTGGACCCGGGGCTCTAATAGGGAAGACTCCACCCATCCAACAGGTCTCACCTGTAATCAATTAGAAAAGCAAACCACCACCACCACCGGTAACCTAAAAAAAAACATAAGGCAGCCTTACCCGGAATAAACAAGAACGTAACAGCAGTATACTTTACATTAAGGAATTTTCCCCCAATCTTTAATTCCTCTTTGGTTAATATTCATTTGTGTGCTCTTTTTCATGCACAAGATTCCAAGCGTTATGGCTTTAATTCAATACTTGAGCCACTTGTCAATGATCTGAAAGTACTTGAGACAGAGGGACTGAAAATTCCCATGTTTAAACACTTGATTCATGGCACTGTAGTCCAGGTCACTGGGGATAATCTTGGCTTGCATAGTCTGTTTGGGTTTGTGGAGTCGTTTGCAGCTCGATATTGTTGTCGTTTCTGTCTGCTTGAGAAAGATTGTTTTCAGAGTGTGTTCTGTGAAGATGATTCTGGTGTTGTACTAAGAACTCTTGATATGCATAAGCAGCACTGTGAAAGTGTACAAAGAGATCCTATGCTACCTCATGTATATGGTGTGAAACGCAGTTGTCTCTTGAATTCACTTAAGTATTTCAACACAGCCAACAACTTTTCTGTAGATATCATGCATGACATTTTGGAGGGAGTTGCTCAGTTAGAGGTGAAACTTGTTCTGCAGTATATTCAGGAGAACTTCCTAAGTGCTGAACAGCTTGCTGGTAGAATATATGCTTTTGACTACGGCTACAATCAGCAGCGAAACCGCCCTCCAAGGGTAAAGTTGTTTGATGGCAGTAATGATTTAGGGTTAAATGCAATTCAATCTTGGTGCTTATTGCATAATGTGCCTTTGTTGTTTGGTGATTTAGTACAGACGGATGATAAGTACTGGCATCTTCTACTTCTGCTTCTACAAATTGTTAATATTGTATTTTCACCAGTGCTGTCAGAAGGTATGACCATCTACCTCAAACATTTAATTATTGATCATCATCAGCTCTTTAAGCAATTATTTCCCACAATCAGTCTCCTACCAAAGCATCACTTCATGATACATTACCCTCGCAGTATACGAAACATTGGCCCAATTCTGCATATGTGGTGCATGAGATACGAAGCCAAACATAATTTATTTAAGAAACAATTAAAAAGCTTTAAAAATATTACAAAGACATTGGCCAAGAAACACCAAAGTTGTATGGCAATGTATTGGGAGTCCTTTAGTCTGGAAAAATTAGCTTTAGAACCAGGAAAGATGGTGACACTTGGAGAGCTGGAAGAAGGTCCAGAAATTGCCTTAAAAATTGGAGCTGTATTTTCTACCAGTGTGTTTTCAGCTAAGTGGATAAAACATCATGGTACAGAGTACCGCCCTGACTTTATCATCTGTACAGGGGTAGTGTCTGAGATTCCTGTGTTTTGTAAGATCAAGAGTATTGCTGTGAAAGATGACATTGTATTGCTCTGTGGAAAACTGATGGAAACCCTGTGTTTGGATGACCATTACCTAGTGTTGTAGTTCTCGAGACCGGTCTTGGTCTCGAGACCGGTCTCGAGACCAATTTTTTGTGGTCTCGGTCTTGTCTTGGTCTCGACTCTATTTGGTCTCGGTCTTGTCTTGGTCTCGGACATAGCGGTCTCGATGGGATGGGGAAAAAAAGAGAACTGCACATCCTCACAGAACAGTATCATTATTTATTACGCGCCTCAATTCAAATGCAACCAGTCAGATGCATCCATTTCAAAAACGTTACATTTTATACATTTTCTCCACGGACACTGCCAGTGCTTGACAGTCCACACACATCATACACATTGTATCATACATCGGCAAAAAAATGTCCGAAAATGTCCGCGAAGTCTATAGCATAGTTATAATTCAAATAAATTAGGTATTTTACATTGATTAGAAAGCACGGTCTTGGAGGTGCAAGTCAATCTGGAGGCTCATTCTCTTCAATTCAAAGCAAAGGATCATTATATAGCTGTATTCATAGCTTACCCGAGGCCTCTCTCCCTGGTATAAGAGACTTAATATGAACATCTTTCTGGTACATCCCATCTCTTTCCCTTGACGAGGTCTGATAAAATGGTTATAGGAGAGGATTGCTGAGAATATTATTTTCTATCAGGTCTCGTAACTATGACAAATCTGGGAGATTTTAAATGAGAGACATATGGACATACGGACAATATAATTGAAAAGATAACATGAATTTGATTTAACGAGTAATGACACTTTACAGCAATGCCTTTTTTCTCTACAGTTGATCTGGGTAATGTGATGTCGATTCTAGCCCTAGTCTGTTTTCGGTCTTGGTCTTGGTCTTGGTCTCGCCTTAGTGTGTCTTGGACTTGGTCTTGGTCTTGGTACCCTCAAGTCTCGGCAGAGTCTTGGTCTTGATACCCTCCGGTCTCGGCAATGTCTTGGTCTCGGTTTAGGCGGTCTTGACTACAACACTACCATTACCATGCATTTAGGGTCAGACTGCATCCCAATATGGTTCTGAAGGTGTTGAACATAAATGAGCTGTGTTACTTCAAACCACTTGATCTTCAACTGAAGTATGGCACTTCAGATTCCTCCCTGTATGTTGTTCCATATTGTCATTTTATGTAGAACTAAAGTCATTGTTTTAAAGTGTTTTATATACTGCATGAGATGTTTTAATATTTTTAGCCTGACATGAAAATAAAGCAGTTAAACATGTTTTGGACTCAGTTGTGGTTTTTGCTCACTTGTTTTATATGTAAAAGTATTATTAAAAACTAGATTTTTCATGCTGCAAAACAGTGAAAGAAGTGTAAAGGTAACACCACAGGAACAGTTGTAGTAACACTACTTGGTGTAACATGATTTTTAAAATTTACTCTGAGAGCTCATTTTTCACTGGAGATTAGTGTATGAATAATAATTTGAACCCCCAGTGTTAATTTCTAATAACGCAATTCAGTGTTAAAAATCAATGGGATTTTACTCAAATAGAGGTAATTTATCACTATGAAAGAGTAAATGATATGACACTACTAGTAGTGTTGCATTGAAATAACACTATGCAGTGTTACTCAATGTTAAATTTATACTCTACTTAGAGTTAATTTTACTCTAAAATGTTAACACTATGGATAGAGTTAATTTAACACTAATTCCGAATGGGACCAAATAGACTCGGGACCAGTGTTAAATTTAACTCTATAAGTGTTATTTTTACACTGTGAATTTTACTGTGTAGAGTCGCCTCTGACTGGTCGATTAATAGGTGGACTAACCCTTTTCATGCTGACAGACTTGACCTGAAGTGACCTTATTCGAATGTGATATGCTTTTTGTGTTGTTCATTGTCGAAATGTGAATGTTGCTTAAGTTTTCCTACACTTCATGTTGGTAATGTTTTCACATATTATACTGGCTGTTACAGTTTTTGGAGAGAGTGAAAAAAGGGAACTCCATTCTGTAATTATTCTGACTATCTTATGTTTTAATTATGCAATATTTGTCCAAATAGACATTCACTGTGTGGGAAACTGTCATGTATGCCAGTTTGTCAATATTGCTCTGTACATTTCCCTGTTTGGTTTCCACAGCTTATTCTACCTGACCATGTATAGAGGTTGGTTAAGTATGGATTATGTCTTCGCTGTGTTCGGCTGAGGACAGCCTTTGTTTAACCGTGGGGGAATATGTAACAGTCGCAATTGTGTGGTGTCTCTTTAAGACAGCGTGAGTCAATGTTTTGGTGATGTCAGTACGTATACGCCACCACGCTCTGTAGTGGCAGTAGTCAGTAGTGGCAGCCCTAATGTCAACAGTATAAAGAGAGAGC